GGCGAGCAGAATGTTCCATTGGCTGTAAGAGTTAACATTGAAGGTAAAAATTGATTTTTTAAGTTTCGAAGTATTCTAGGTCGTTGGGAAACGAAACAAATTGTCGTGCTAAGTGAATCTGTTATTTAATTATGTTGTTACCGTAGTCATAAAGGAAAGTGCACTAGAGAAAGTAAAGCAGCTTTCATAGATAAATGCGAATTACGTATCTCTGAAGAGAACTTTCGAAAAACGGAACAACTGCAATTATCATTAAAAAGTTGTAAGAATAATAAAACGATTCGAACAATTCATATATTATTTCATAAATCTTATATTAGGAATGCACAATGTTATCGAACTGGCGAAACAGTACAAATTAAGGATATTTATTCCATCCACGATCGGTGCATTTGGTCCGGATTCACCACGGAATCCTACCCCAAACGTGACCATACAACGTCCTCGAACGATTTATGGTGTTAGCAAAGTGCATGCCGAATTATTGGGTGAATACTATCATCACAGATTTGGGCTTGACTTCCGGTGTCTTAGATTTCCGGGTGTCATTAGCAGTGACCCACCGGGCGGTGGTACCACAGGTATGTACCCTGATGTATACTTATTATTTTTAGCTATACATAAAAATATCCCGATACTAGTCAATAGAATTATTTAGAAATTAAAAAATTAAGTTTCATAAATTAATAGTCGAATATATTTTATTCGTAATACTCGAAGATTTTTTTTAATTAACATCATTTTTAAGATGTTCCAAAAACTGAATTATTTGGAATCTTTTTAATTCTTTTCAGAGATTAATTAATCAAGTTGATAAATACAAATGCGTTTACAATTTTTTTTTCAAAAATGGAGTTTCCCGAATTGCCACCTTATTTACTTAATTAAGTTCATTTTATAAAAGTATCCTTTAACGATAAGAGCTGGAGCACGTTTCAAGCATAATTAGAATAACTAGATAATAACGCAATCTATAGTTCTTCAAGGACAATAGTATACGCTAAATTGTCGAGTATCCCTTAATCATGAACCGTGAGATCTCTGCGTTTCCTTCACTTTCTAATGCGTAAATCTCGAAAAAAAATAAGAGCTATGGAATAGATAGAATTCCTATTGCAATAATAATATTTAAAACGTAATTATTTTAGCTGGTACGTGTACTTCTTACAGATTACGCAGTAGCAGTTTTTCATGAAGGATTGCTTACTCAAAAATATGAGTGTTATTTAGAACCCTATACGAGGTTGCCAATGATGTATATAGAGGATTGTTTGTCAGCGCTTTTTCAATTTTTGAACACTCCAAAGGAGCTACTACAAAGGAGGGTATATAACGTTACTGCTATGAGTTTCACACCTGAAGAATTGTTTGAAGAACTGAAGAAACATGTTCCTAACTTGAAGATTTCATACAAACCAGACGGAAGACAATATATTGGTTAGTATATAACATTCGTATGTGATAATACGTGTAAGTGCTATTCTGCTATTAAATTTTAGCTGAAAGTTGGCCGCAAGTTTTTGACGATAGCGAGGCACGGCGAGATTGGGGATGGAAACACAAATACAATTTAGAAAAACTTGTAGAATCAATGATACACGATGTAAG